CCCATATCTTAATCCCATTCCTACAATCTCCTCTCATCTCATTCCCATGTTCTCCTCTCATCCCATTCCCATATCTTCCTCTCATCTCATCCCATCCCATCTCCATATCCCATCCCATCCTATCCCAATATCCTACTCCCATTCAATCCCATCCCATTCCCATATTCTCGTCCCATTCCATCCCATTCCCATATCCTCCTCTAATCCCATCCCATTCCCATATCCTCCTCCTATCCCATCACATTCCCATATCCCCCTCTAATCTGGATTTTTTTTCCAGTATTTTTTTTCCAGCCTAATATCCCAACCTATTAATTCCTTTTGGAAAAAGGGTTTTGGCTAAACACTCCCGACTTTTTTTCAGGAACAAACCTGTTTTCCGGGATTTCTTCCCTTGGAATGGCTGGAGGAGGAGCTTGGAAAAGTGGGAGAGAAAGATGAGGGATTGGAATTTTTTTTTTTCCAAAGGGAGGAGAGATGGGAAAAGGGAAGAAAAGGCTCGAGGTAAATTCCAAAGGATTTTTCCAACTATTTCCAAGGGAGTTTTTCCAGCTTTTTTCCCTCCTCATTCCCAGATTTTCCCTCCTATGGATCATTTCTCCAGGAATTTTCCCCCTTTTCCCTTTATATTCCCCATTCCCTATTTTTTTCCCTCCACTGGGAATTTTCCATCTTTTTTTTCCCCCTTTTTTTTTTTCCCACCTGGACCTGAGAATTCCCAGATTTTTTCCCCTATGGAAATTTTCCAAGCTGGGAAACCTTCGGCCAAAATTGGAATGAGATTGGAATTCCATAGGGAATTCCCAGTTGGGAAAAATTCCCTATCTTCTAACAGGAAATGATTCAAATTGGAAAAGATTGGAAAGATTTGATCCCTAGAAAAAAATTGCATTATGATCTGGGCTCATTCCAAACTTTTCCTGGAATATTCCCAAGGGATGGAGAAGATTTCTCTGGGAATATTTTCCCAGTCAGGAATTCCTTCTTATCCTAAAGTTTTTCCCAGCTTTTAGAGCTTCCTGAACTTTTGGAACTTGACTATTTTTCCATAGGGAAAAGAAGGAGAAATTCATGAGAATTCCATGAAAAAAAGACACCAAAGTCTTGTGGAATCAATTTAATGGAAAATCCATGAAAAAAATGGGATAAGAAAAGTAAAAAAATTAAATTGGAGCTCAATTCTTCCCAAAATTCTGGGGATTTTCAGCCTGGAGAAGGAATAAATACCTAAAAAAAAAAAAGTCTCCTTGGGAATATTGATCATTCCCTGAAAAAAAGTCCTGTTAGGAATGTTGTTGATCCCAAATTCCAAGGGCTTTATTTCTTAATTCCATGGAGAATTCCCAAGTTTTTAAGCAGGTTTAGGGAATTTTTTGAATTCTTCTTGATCCTTGGAAAAAATCTGAGCCAGGATATGATCAGAAGTTCCATGGAAATATTTCTTCATCCCAAGAGTTTCCAACTGGGAAAAGAAGGAAAAAAATCCTGAGAATTCCAGCAGGGAATTCAGCAAAATGGGATGGGAATGGGGTGGGAAAAAGAAGAAATTCCTGGGAATTTTGGGCTGGGAATGGGAGGAAATCCCTGGGAATGTTGGGATGGGAAGAAGAGGAAATCCCTGGGAATAATGGGATGGGAATGGGGTGGGAAGAAAAGGAAATTTCTGGGAATGTTGGGATGGGAAGAAAAGGAAATTCCTGGGAATTTTGGGCTGGGAATGGGAGGAAATTCCTGGGAATAATGGGATGGGAATGGGGTGGGAAGAAGAGGAAATTCCTGGGAATGTTGGGATGGGAATGGGAGGAAATCCCTGGGAATAATGGGATGGGAATGGAGTGGGAAAAAGGGGAAATTTCTGGGAATTTTGGGCTGGGAATGGGAGGAAATTCCTGGAAAATTCCTACCTCATTCCCAGTGCTATAAGCCAAAACCAGGAAAAGATCTTCCTGACAAAAACTGCGGAGATAATGTTGAGTTCCCACTGGGAAAAAAATAACATCTCCAACATTGATTGGAAAATTGGAAGTGATTTCATCTCCAAGGATCACTCCAGCCTGGAAAAAAAAAACCCAGAAAAAAATGAGGAATCTCTTGGATTTTCCAGAAAGAATCAATCCAAGACAGAAAAAATTAAAACCTCTAAAAAAAACTTCTGGAAGATTTTTTCCATCCTCATTTTTTTTAGGCTTTTCAGATTTTTTCCCCAATTTTTTCTAGCTGAGAATTCCCTCATTTTTTTTTTCCCAGGAAAAAACTCCTGAAATCTTTGGGAATTACCTGTCCACATCCACTGACCACATAACCCAACTCGTTGGCATTGAAATGGAAATGAGGTTGTCCCAATCCGTCGGTAAAAATCCGAAGCGTTGCCAAAGTCAAAGTGTTTTCATACTGGAAAAAAAACAAAGAAAAAAGACCCAAATTCCCAAAAATCCCATCTGGAATTCCAGAAGGATCCCCAAGAATCCCTAAGAGTTCCTAAAGTGGTGGAGCTAACGAACCTTGTGGAGACTTTCACTGAAGATTTTTTGGTTTTCCGTTAAACCGGTGGTGTTTTTTCGGTACCGAGCCCATTGGAATATTCCACCTGGGAATGGATATTCCATTGAACCTGGAAAAAAAAAACAAACCAGGATGAACATTCCCACTTTTTCCTAGCCCATCTCAACTCCAACCATCATTTTTCGCATCATCTCCTGGAAGTTTCTCCTCATTTTTTGGCTTTTTTCTGGGGGGGGGTTCGGGTTTTTTTCGGGTTTTTTTGAGGTTTTGGGGATTTTTTCATTCTTTGTCGTCAGCTGGAATTTTTTTCTGGGAATTTTCTCATTCCAAAGGATTTTTCCTACCTTGGAGGTCGTAGAAGAATTGCCAGACGAGGTGATCTGGGGATTGGGTATAGGTGGAATTGTGGATGAGTTGGTCAAGGTTGGGCGGGAGGTTAATGGTTTGGTCTTCTTGGGGTTTGAGGAACGTTCTGATGAATTTGACTCCTCCTTGAGGCTGTGGGAAAATTCCAAGGAAAAAGGGGATGGAAAAGTGGGAATGGGATGGGGGAAAGGGTTGGAAGGGAACCCAACTCAACTCAACTCAACTCAACTCAACTTGACTCATCCAACTCAACTCAACTCATCCAATCCAACTTGATCCAACTCATCCAATTCAACTTGATCCAAGTCAACTCAAGTCAACCTGTCCAACTCAACCCAACTCTTCCAACTCATCCAACTCAACCCAACACAACCCAACCTAATCCAACCCAACACAACCCAACTTAACCCAACCCAACCCATCCAACCCAATCCAACCCAACCCACCCCAACCCAACTCATCCAACCCAACTCAACCCAACTCATCCAACCCAACCAACCCAACCCAACCCAACTTATCCAACCCGATCCAACCAACCCAAACCAACTCATCCAACCCAACCCCTCCAGACCTTCAAAGCTCTTGCCAAGATGTCCTCAGGGGTGGCAAAAAAAGCATCATCCATATCCAAGGTGAGGAGCTCCTCGTGGGTGCTGAAGAAAAGCAGGAAAAGACAATCCTCTTTTCCCACATTTTTCAACCAATGGATTGTATTCCTTGGGAAAAAAATCACTTGACCAGCGGAGACGTTGTAGGTGGTGATCACTTGATCATCTGCTCCGATCACTCCCACCCAAGCAGAGCCCTGGAATGGCCAAAAAAAAAAAAAATTAGGAAAAAAAAGATCGATTCTTTCCTTGGAATTTTTGCTAGAAAGTTCAACCTGTCCAACCCAACTCTTCCAGCTCATCCAACTCAACCCAACACAACCCAACCTAATCCAACCCAACACAACCCAACTTAACCCAACCCAACCCATCCAACCCAATCCAACCCAACCCACCCCAACCCAACTCATCCAACCCAACTCAACCCAACTCATCCAACCCAACCAACCCAACCCAACCCAACTTATCCAACCCGATCCAACCAACCCAAACCAACTCATCCAACCCAACCCCTCCAGACCTTCAAAGCTCTTGCCAAGATGTCCTCAGGGGTGGCAAAAAAAGCATCATCCATATCCAAGGTGAGGAGCTCCTCGTGGGTGCTGAAGAAAAGCAGGAAAAGACAATCCTCTTTTCCCACATTTTTCAACCAATGGATTGTATTCCTTGGGAAAAAAATCACTTGACCAGCGGAGACGTTGTAGGTGGTGATCACTTGATCATCTGCTCCGATCACTCCCACCCAAGCAGAGCCCTGGAATGGCCAAAAAAAAAAAAAATTAGGAAAAAAAAGATCGATTCTTTCCTTGGAATTTTTGCTAGAAAGTTTGGAGATTCCGAACAAGGCGAAGTGGTCTCCAAAAGATCTTGGAGAGGCCCAAAATTGCTTGAGATTTCCCAAAACATCCCTTGAAGAGGCTCAAAATTCCTTGGAATTGCCCAAATTTCCTTAGGATTTCCCAAAAAAAGGTCTTGGAAAGGCCCAAATTTCCTTGAAATTGCCCAAATTTCCTTGGGATTTCCCAAAAAATCTCTTGGAGATGCCCAAAATTCCTTAGGATCTCTCAAAAAAGCTCTTGGAGATGCCCAAATTTCCTTGGAATTGCCCAACTTTCCTCGGAATTTCCCCAAAAAAAGCTCTTGGAAATGCCCAAATTTCCTTGGACTCTCCAAAATTTTTTGGGATCTCCCAACTTTCCTTGGAATTTTCCAAAAAAACCTCTTGGAAATGCCCCAAATTCCCTTGAAATCTCCCAAAATCTCTTGGAAATGGCCCAAAATTCCCTTTGGGAATTCCCTCAATGCCCTCTAAGAATGGAATTCCAAAGATTTTTTTTGGGGGGGGGAATACCTGGAGAAGATATCCGTGTTCATTGGCATTAAAATGCCAATGAGGAATTCTTAATCCTTTGCTCCTGATCCTTAACGTTCCGAAGGTTATTTGGGATCGATGGGAATTGAGACTTTTCCCAAATTCCATTTCTTCCTCCGTTTGATATTCCTGAAAATCTCGACGGAATCTCGCCCATTGGATTTCTCCTCCGGGATATTTATGGATCTAAAGGAGAAAAAAAAAAGGAATTTTATTGGAATCTCCCAAAGAATTTGGAAGGAAATCTAAAAGAATTCCGAAGGAATTTTGCTCAAAAGAATTCCTAAGGAATTTGGATGGAATCTCTAAAGGATTCCCAAGGAATATTTATGGAATCTCCAAAGAATTCCCAAGGAATTTTGCCCAAAAGAATTCCCAAGGAATTTGGATGGAATCTCTAAAGGATTCCCAAGGAATTTTGATGGAATCTCAAAGAATTCCCAAGGAATTTGGATGGAATCTCCAAAGAATTCCCAAGGAATTTTGATGGAAGGAGTTTTGATGGAATCCCAGAAGAATTCCCAAGAAATTTTGATGGAATCCTCAAAGAATTCCCAAGGAATTTTCATGGAATCCTCAAAGAATTCCCAAAGAAAACCCTCCAGGAATTTGGGAGAAGCTGAAAAAAAATGAGAAGAAAAGAAAAAAATGGAAAAAAATGGGGAAAATGGGAAAAAAAGGCAAAAAAATGGGACAAAAAAAGGGAAAAAAATTGAGATTTCTCCAATTTTGGGGGTTTTTTTGGGGGGGATTTTTTTGGATTTTCTTCCCTTGGATTTGCTGAAGGAATTTGGGAGAAGCTGAAAAAATTGGAAATTTCTCCAATTTTTGGGCTTTTTTGGGGCTTTTTTGTTTTTGGGGGGGATTTTTTGGGGATTTTTTTAGGGGATTTTTGGGATTTTCTTACCTTGGATTTGCTCAAATGGTTCAAGAATTGGAATTTCCTCTCCACAACTTTCTCAGGAATTTGAGAAGGAACTGGAAAAAAGTCCTGGATTGATTCCTGAAGGAATTTTGTATGATGAACCATCACCAAAGAAAGGGCCAAAATTCCAATTATTGTCGTAACCAAACAAGCCAAAAAACACAGGAAAAAAATCTTCCACATGGACCAATTCCCTTTTTTTTCCTAAAAAAAAAAATCACAGGAAAAAATTCCAAAGGGATTAATTCCATTTCCCCCCCCAAAAAAAAACAGTTTCCCCCCAAAAAATCACATTTTCTCCCCAAAAAAAACCCTTAAAATTTGATTTTTTTCATCATTTTCTCCTTATTTCTTCCCCATTCCATCGGAATTTTTGGCTCCCGTTGGAATTTGGAGGGATGAGAAAAATTCCCAAGCTAATTCCTTAATTTTTGGGGGGGAGAAATTCAAGGAAAAATGGAATTTTTGGGGAGAAATTGATGGAAAAATAACTTCCCCCCAAAAAAGGAAAAACAATTCCTACCTCAAATTTGGACTTTTCATTCCTTCCAGGAAAATTTGGGATTTTTTCTCCTTGGAGTTCAAACGCTTGGTTATCCATGAAAGCTGCAAGAAAAAGGGGAAAAAATGGGAAAAATGGGAAAAAAAGAGGAAAAAAAAGGGGAAAAAAGGAAAAAAAAGGGGGAAAAAGGGGAAAAGGGGAAAAAAGGGGGGAAAAGGGGAAAAAGGGGGGAAAAAAGGAAAAAAGGAGAAAAGGGGGAAAAAATGGGGAAAAAAGGGGGAAAAATCATCAGTTGGAGCTTTTGAACCACTTCCTTTTTTTTCTGCAAACTCCGGAAAAAAATCAGGAAATTGGGAAATTTCCTAATTTCCTGTTAATATTTCCAAGAGGTTTTTCTTCCCTTTTTTTCAGACACAATTTAACGTTTTTGTCCCTGGTTTTTTCCTTTTACATTTTTTCCCTGTTTTTTCCCTGTTTTTTTCCCCTTTTTTCCCCATTTTTCCCTATTTTTTCCCGGTTTTTTTCCTGTTTTTTTCCCTTTCTTTTCCTTTTTTCCCTGGTTTTTTCCCTGTATTTTTCCCTATTTTTTTCCTGTTTTTTTCCCCCTGTTTTCTTCCCTGTTTTTCCCCTATTTTCCCTTTTTTTTCCCTTTTTTTTCCTGTTTTTTTCCTTTTCTTTTCCATTTTTTCCCTATTTTTCCCCATTTTCCCCCATTATTTTCCCATTATTTTCCCATTTCTCCCATTTTTCCCCATTTTTCCCATTTTCCCCCATTTCCCCCATTTCTCCCATTTTCCCCCATTGTTTTCCCATTATTTTCCCATTTTTCCCATTTTTTTCCCCATATTTTCCCCCATTGTTTTCCCATTATTTTTCCATTTTTTCCCCCATTTTCCCCCATTTCCCCCCTCAGGAATTTCCCTGCTTACCTCCTTTTCCTTCCCCCTTGGGGAAAAAAAAAACCCAAAAGAAAAATTCCAACTTTTGTCTCCTCTTCCAACCTCCAAATTTTTTCCTTTACCTTTTTTTCTCCCTCCTTTTATACCTCCTGAAAAAAAGAGGAAATATTTTTTACTTCCTCTTCCATATGCAAATTCGGAGCCCCAAAAAAACCTTTGGAATCTATCCAAAAAAAATTTTAAAAAAAAGGGAATTTCCCTTTGGTTCTTCCTCTTTCACTTTTATTTTTTCCTTCTTTTTATTTCCTCCTCAGAATTTTCCCTTTTTCTGATGGGATTTGGGGGAAAATCTTGGAATTTCGTTGGTATTTTTGGGAATTCCAATTCCCTATGGAATTATTGTGGGATGGGAATGTTATTCCGAAGCAAAATAAATATAAAATTCCCATTTTCCCCCCTTTGATTCCTTTAGGAACATCCCAAGAAATTTTCCTGAAGGTCATTCCCAATTTTTTTCCTATTTTCCTGGAGGAGTTTCCCAAAAATTCTCCTCCTGGATCAGGAAATTCTTTGAGCAACTAAAGGAATTTCAGGAAAAGATTTGGAATTAGGGAAAAAATTGGGAAAAATTTGGAATATTCAACTTGGAAAAAAGGAGAAAAATTCAAGGAAAACTTTTTTCCAGTGGTTGGAAAAGGTTTAGGAAAATTGGAAAAATTTGGGATAAGGAATAAAAAGATTTTCCATTGGAATTTTGGGATGGAATTCCAAACTGGGAATGTGGAAAGGACCTGGAGAAATTATCCTAAGGAATATTCCCCAGGAAAATTTTTCCTTGGAATTCCAATATAATATTCCCAAAAAAACTCATCAAACTGCCCAAAAAATTGGGAAAAATCCTCCCAAGAAATTCCCAAATCTGAGAAATTCTGATGGAAATATTTACCCTTTCCCAGGGAAAAGAGCTGAAAAATTGGGGGAAAAGTGAAAAATTGGGAAAAAAGTGAAAAATCAGGAAAAAGTTGGAAAATATTTCCATCCAAAGTGACTTTTGACCTGGAAAAAACAAAAAATCTTGGAATGTTTTGGTGTTTAGGTCAAAGTGGAATTGTTTCCCTTGTTTTTTTTCCGCATTTTTTCTGACTCATCGAGGTCAAATTCCAAGAAAAAAGGTGGAGAAGGGGAAAAAAAAAAACCCCGGGAGGAGTAAAGGGAGAAATTCCGAGTGTGGAGAGAAGGCAAAAAAATAGGGAAAAATGGGGAAAAAACGGGATTTTTCAAGGTATTTTCAAGGGAATTTAAGGGAATTTTTAAAGGGACTTAAAGGGAATTTTAAAGGGATTTAAAGGGAATTTTTAAAGAGAATTTTAAGGGAATTTTTAAAGGAAATTTTAAGGGAATTTTTAAAGGGAATTTTAAGGGAATTTTAAGGGAAATTTTAAGGGATTGAATGGGGAATTTAAAGGGATTTAAAGGAAATTTTTAAAGGGAATTTAAAGGGATTGGGATTAGGGATTAGGATTAGGATTGGGATTAAGATTAGGATTGGGATTAGAATTAGGAGTGCGATTAGGGATTGGGATTAGGATTGGTATTTGGATTAGGATTAGGATTAGGATTGGGATTAGGATTAGGATTGGGATTAGGAAATAGGATTGGGATTAGGATTGGGATTAGGATGAGGGATTAGGAGTGGGATTATGCTTAGGGTTAGGATTGGGATTAGGATTGGGATTATGATTAGGGTTGGGATTAGGATTAGGGTTAGGGTTGTGATTGGGATTAGTATTAGGGATAGGGATTTGTATTGGGATTAGGGATTGGGATTATTGATTGGGATTAGTGATTGGGATTAGAATTAGGACTGAGATTAGGGATTGGGATTAGGATAGGGATTTGGGTTCAAAGTATTTTATACAGTGATAATTGTGTTTCTTTATAGGTAAGGTTATTTCATGTAAAGTTATCAGAACTTTAGACTTGGGAATCTGGAGGGAAATTTGGCCTGTCTCTCCCTGGTTTATTTTCTACAAAAAGGTTACTTCTGTGCTATTCCTGGGAAGCCTAATGGAGAACAGGTATGAGTTGCTGACCCCAGGTACTTTCCAAAATCATCTGGCTCATCCTAATGCCTTCAAGCATTCTGTCACAGTTTTGTGTGTGAAAAATGCTGAAGTCCACCTGGCTTATGGCCCAGGTCTGAATTGTCCTCCAGTCACTTCTGGAAAAAAGAGAATTTGCCCAGAATTAATCTCTCTGAATTCTGTCACATTGAACTACGGTGAAAACAGCCTTTCCACTTTTACAGTCCTGACTTCCACCTGCTTGACTTTGGCTGGATACCAGGTGCCCACCTACTTTATCTCTCTCCTCCTCAGCAGGATGGGAGGGGGGGCTGAGTGGGGGAGGAAAAAGAAAGTAAGATGAAAAAAATGTGGATCAAGATAAAGGCACTTCAACAAAACGAAAGCAAAGGCTGTGTACGGAAGAAAAGATTTATTCTCTACTTCCCATCAGCAGGTGCTGCCCAGCCACTTTCCAGGAAACAGGGCTTCAGCACACATTGTGGCTACTCCAGAAGACAAACACTGTCATAAAAAATGCCTCCCACCTCCTCCTTTCTCTTAGCTTTTATTACTGAGCAGACGTCATATGGTATGGACTTTGATCAGCTGAATCATCTCTCCTGGCCATGTCCCATCCAAGATCTCACCTACCCTCAGCCTGTGTTGGAGAGACAGCCTGGATGCTGTGCCAGCACTGCTCAGCCACAGCCAAAACACTGATGCATCAGCAACACCTTGCTAGGTACCAGTGCAGCACAGCTCTGTGAGGGCTGCGGTGCAGAAAATCAACTCCATCTCAGCCAGACCCAATACAACCTCTTGCTGCTGATAATTTGCCTCTGCTTGTAGGGTTTTTTATAAATTACAGGCAGAAATAGCAGAAAGACCATGGATTCTGAGACCCTTCCATGAAACAGAAAAAATGGTCTGACAGAACAAGGGAAAGATAATGCCTGGGTAAAATGTAATTCAAGTTCAAATAAGCATAGGACTCCTTTTCACAATGAGTGAAAAAGAATTTTGTCCTTCGAGCTCTGTGTGAAATGAGGTTATAGCCCATCTGCAG